AGGAAATGAGACAGAGAGGGTGTGACATGGACAAGTTTGGTAAATTAGACAACAGCGAAAAAACGATCGCGATAATTGGGGATAGATGGTGGGCACAAGAGGCCCTAGAGGACGGGGATAAGATGTGCAAGAAATTTTTATGGAGTTTGTGGCAGAAACGTAAAGAGCTCCCAAATGTTGGTGGTGTCTCTAGTAGGGGTAGGAACGGTGCTCCGTCTCGAAAGGGACGCGTGGTCAATGGTCAAATGACTGCGGCAAGCAACAAATGAGTACGCCCCCCCCCCCCTCCCCCCGCGCCCCCAAGGCACTCTGCAATGGCCTTGCTGCCGTTTCCCACAACGTCGTTCTGTTTCCGGCGATCAATTTTCCTGTGTTCCTGAGGTTGACTGAGATGGCCGGGTGCTGGGTCGGAGGTGCCCACCTCACGGAGTCGGGCCTATCCCTTTCTTCGGTGTGATGCTCAATGTTTTTCTGCTGCTGTTGCTGCTGCTGCTAATGCTGCTGTCGCCACCGTTGTCCTCTGTTCGTTTTGTGCCGAACAGCTCCCCCTGACGTTTACGGTGCTGATATTTGCCTATTTTCTGTCGGGGCTCGGGTCGACGGTCTGCGAGTACCTGCTGTATGGTCTCAGCTACCTGGGGGTCGGGATGAGCGTGGCCATGCACAGGTTCGTCCGCTTCCCTGCTTTTCTTTCGGCTTGCCTGGCGGGAAACTGGCGTGTAGATTGTGACTGCTGGACCGAACTGAGTCGTTTGCTGCGGCTGTTGTTGCTGTCCTCATGCTGAGAAGAAAAAACGCGATCTGAACTTTCCTTAGCACATTTGCGGTATTCCGTACCAGATCGACGCCCGGGTCGAAGACGGTTTTCCGTGGGCACAGGGGTACCGTATTTTCAACCCAAACGCATACCAGACATGGAACAAACAGGAGTCGATCCGCGCTCTCTCGCGAGCGAACAAGAACAAGTCAAACAAAGACTGACAACCATCTGCTGGGTGTGCCACCGCATGACCGCTTTGACCGTTGCCTCCCTCGCCGAATCGCCACTCTAAGCGTTACCTCCCTTTCTCTTGAACGCCTTCCCGCAGGTCGCTGCAGGTGCTGCTGAGTCACCTGGTGTGGGTCTACATGGGCGTTAGGATCCTGAGCATGGCGGTGAGGTCGTTCTTCGACACGGAAAAGGCGAGTGTTGCTGCCGCGATCTGCATGATCCCATTTGAGCTTATGCGCACGCGCCGCCGTTTCACGAGAGTGCTCTTATCATTATTCGACCATTTGCTTCCGCCTCCGGCGCCGCCGGTACGCTTTCCCAACCATTGCGTTCTTCCTCTTCTACCCCACCGGACACCCACTGCAACCTATCTTGCCGCTCTATCGCTCCATCTGGATCCGGGGGCGAACGGGCTGATGGGATATATGGCGGACCCGGACGTGTTGGTGGTACGGAATACTTCAGGGGTCGTGGGTCGGAATGAAGTGGCGATCCAACTGGCTGTGGTGAGAGGCGGTGCAATTGAGGGTGTCTTGTCAAGACGTGTGTATGGGGCGAAATGCTAGGTAGGGTTGGGTTGCCGTTGTGACCCAGTCCTCGGCGTGGATGTGCGGGTGTGTTGTTTGATGAGCTCCTCGTCTGGTGTTTCTTGGTGCTGTCACGTTTTGTACCACGGCTTTACGTGACAAGGTGATGTCGAAGTATTTTTTTTCTTTGTGACACACCATCAGTTCAAACATCGTAAGGCACAAATGCCATGAGGAGCGCTTGCGGTAGCCAGGTGAGTGGTGGTCGTGCCCCACTCCGCTCCTCCGAACTCCCACGCTGCTGCTGAAGCCAAGGCCGGACGCCCACGCTCGGTTCTGCCTTGTATTCCACGTTTCCGCGGTTCAATTGAATCACGTTATATCACCACACACAAGAACGTTGTCTGACGCAAATAACCCCAAAATATGTTCATACTTCGAATCCGACCCTGATTTTTTTTTTGAAAGGTGGGTGGTCGGAGGCTACTTTGTGTCTTCGTCGCTGTTCAACATGGCCGACCTGGCGAATCAGTTCCTGTGCCCCCTGCCGCCAGACACGGAGTCGGTGGTTGTGAAGATCATCAACCCTGAAAATAACGACATCGCGGCGATGGCCGTGGGCTCAATCGCGCCGTGTATGACGGCGCCCTGGTGGGAGGAAGTGCTCTATCGTGGGTGAGAGGGAGAATGAGAGAGGGGGGTGGGGGGTGGCAGGGAGCGAGAGAGAGAGAGAGAGAGAGAGAGAGAGAGAGGCAGGGAAGGAGAATGAAAGAGGTTTGTGAGAGAGGTTCTGTGCATGGAGTGCTTTGTTACCTTCTCGTTCTGGCGGGCGTCGTCGTCCTTGGCTGCTTGCGGCTGTTGGTACCGCTCTGCTGCATGAATCGTACCCGGTCATACAAAAGCATTGTGGTACCGGGTCATACAAAAGCATTGTGGTACGGGAGCATGGTGATACACCTTCGCAACAACGTACGAGAGGAGGGAATCATTTGATTTGTTATTGTCCTTTGTCGTCCTACTGCATGGCGGTCTTGCTTCTTCCTGGCCGGCTCTCTGTCGTGCGCTTGACAACACTGCCTCTCCTCCCCCCCCCTCCCTTCCCAGGTTTTTGTTACCCGCCCTGACGCTGTATCTGCCCCTGAAGGCCGCGCTACCGGCAGGGTCTTTCCTCTTCGCGGCGCATCACATGAACCTACAGGTCTGAAGAAACAAGCGATAGATGTTCCACCGACAAAGTTGCAACCGCTGTCGATTCCCAGCCAACCTTATCTTCAAACCCCGACTGAATGTTCGCGCACACATACTGAGTACATCACGCAGGGAGTGGACAATATGTGATGTACCAAAGGCATTGCTTGGCAGACGGACCCGTTGACCACGCGTCCTCGAGAGGACGAAGCATTTTGCCCACAGGATCAATCGCCCATGGCCAATCGTTCTTTCCTACTTTGCCAAAGGGGGCTCAAACTTTCTCCCCCCATCCTATCTGTATCACTTTGTTGTGTGTGTTCATGTAAGCATGCCGTAGTCTATAGACCACTAACCTCGTATGCCGACAATGCCAGGATCACCTTTGTGGTAAGGGGGTGGAGGGGGGTTCCTACAAAAGAGGAGTGAGGGCGTGCTCCTCTCCTGTGTTTGGCATAGAGGATGGGTCTTGTTGCGGGGTAAACCGCAAACGGATATCCTCTGCCGAGGCTGGCTGATTGATCATGGCATGATGTGAGTGGCATCACAAAACTCTTCGTGCTTGTCCACTTGATAACCCCCCCCTCCCAGCCTCCAACCAAGGTGCGCCTATTGCTCACGGTAGTGTGCCGTGTCACGCGCAAAATGGACCTAACCAACTCTTCGCTGCAGGATGTTGCCACGTTGTTCTCCCCGTTGCTGTGGTGATTTCAACAAGCATGCGAGCAGGTCTCGCCACGATGACGTGCGCACTCCAAGCGATGAAAAACAAACGGGCTCTCCCACTCTCTGCGATGCGTGTCTGTCTATCGTCGTGGTTTGCGCCGCAGGCTATGCTTCCTCTCAGCGTTCTAGGGCTGGTGTGGTCCCTCCTCTACCTTTACTCTGGGAACCTGTTGGTGACCGTCCTTATCCACGCCATGTGGAACAGCAGAGTTTTTCTAGGGTCCTTGCTGGGCTTGTAGTATCCGGCGAGCAGCTCGGAGTTGGCGCGATATGTTGCTTCTTTTTCGTACGGGGAGGGGTAGGCGCTGCTCACTCGCCGCGTGCCTTTCGTCCATGTGTAACGTTGACCACCAGTGCGCCTTACTTAGAGGCCTGCGCCGGTGGAAGAGGAGGGGGTTCTGGGTTGGGCTTACGCGAACGCTTTGCTATTGTATTTCCCGTTGTTGGTTGGGTTGGGTTGTCTCTCGGGAAGCATTAGATGATGGCGCCCCATCCTTCTGAGACGTGCATGCACGGACAGCAGTCGAACTAGTCTCCAGAGGATCAGAGTCCTCGCCTTCGTGGGGGTGAGTGAGCTAAGCAACAGATCGCGATGGGTTGTGTGCATGGAAGGATAATGGGGCCTAGACTTGAAAAGGGACGATGCCCTCGTTGATTAAGTAGCCAAGTTTCTCAGTCAGGTGATGACGCAATTTTGTCTGACTTGGTTGATTTGCGAAGCGTTTTTTACGCCTGTCATGTGTACCACCTGTAGAGTTGTTGTCACGTGTACTCCATCCTTCGCAATGAGCCTGTTAGCGTTCAGATCTGGTGCAGCTTTAATTGGAACGTTCCTTATAGCAAGTACTGGATTTGCCCACGAACCTCACCTCCCCCTCCCACTTCCATATACTTCGAACACGCCTACAAACTGCCTGTATTCATGTCACGCCCCCCCCCCCCCGTTTTGGAAGAAGGTTTCCTCTACATTGGTTGGAGTTATCTTCCCGTACGAGTAGCGCACGTTTCCCGCTCCTCGGGTCAGTGGGAACTCAAAGAAAAGACTGCGGAACTCGTTCGAGATTTGAAAACAGCATTAGTTGACATATTTCAAACTCGCGTTCCCGGTTCCTTGATATTTATTTGGCTTTTGTTGTCCCGAACCATGGTTCAGGAATCTCCGAAATCCAATTTCTATTTCAAACTCGTGGGGTACATATCTCTACATATCTTTGAACGGGGAGGCCTTGATATGTGGCTGTTCCGAGGTTAGTATCCCAAAAGATGACGTGTAATCCGAAACTCCGTCCAGTATGCGCACACCTTGCTGCCACACATATGTACTACGCTGCAGCAGTATACAGCAGTACGTTGGAGAGCGAGGCCAACTTGGAGAGACGGGAGACTTTCATAACTGCTACGCTGCTGTTAGCGAACAATGTAGAATGAAAACGCACGCCTGTGTTGAGACTTCGTATGTGGTTGGGATGTGTTTCAAGAGAGAGGCAGAGCGACACCACGCGCCGAGATGCTGTTTTCCCTCTCTCTCCGGCTGGGCAGCTGGCTGAAATATCGCATGCATGCATGATGAACAGGATGATGAACACATCAACAGACAACTACGGCTCGCTGCCAACACAAAGCACACACACCAGACACGCACACCCACTATCCCCCAGTTATTTAACCATGCATCTTTCAGGAGGGCACTCTCACAGTCGATGGTCATGATGTATGCATACTTACGTCACCAAGCGGAGAAGAGCCTTTGGAAAGAAAAAAGACACCACAACACCACAAGCACAACCGATTCTTGAGCGACGACAGCAGAGGATCGATTCATAACTGGATGAGAGATTCATGAAGCTATGCATACCTACATATGAATACTTGCGTGTGCGCGGTGTCAAAGCTCTGGGGGTGCGGGTCTAGGTTTTGTGTCCGTCCTCTGCCGTTCTTTGCGTCTGACCGAGATTGCCAGCTGCGAATACCTGGAGGGAGCGGCTGACGGGCGGAGCCGTCGGGTTTTTCAAGACGAGTTGCGGTGTTTTTTCCTGTGCTGATGTGCTGTAAATAGTAGAAGAGGAAGTTGTATGCATAGACGAGGAGTGATGCATCATCTGTGATATATCTCAAGCAGGGGACGGAGGGGTGGAACAGCCTCCGAGGTAGAAGCCACGCTGGCTAGCAAGCTTGCACAGTGGTAGCTGTTCGAGTGGTAGCAGTCGGTGTCCGTGCGGTTGCTACTGTCGTGCGAGCTGTCCCTCCCTTCCGCCACAAGCGGCGGTACAAAAAAAAAAAGCTAAAGATCCAGCCGGAAATGCCGAAAATCCCGACCCATGGTTCGGGAATCCGCGCCCTATTTTATTTCAAACTCGAATCCTCGGGAATCCCGACAATCCCTCTGAACAGCCGGTGAACTGGCCTGATCCATACCGACACCACTGAGGGCTCTCTGCTGTTGTTGTACTGACGTCTGTTTACGCGACATGTACAGCCATATGAACATACACCCTGAGAACGCAGTGATGCTAGCCGGAAGCAAATCACCACCGGTTGTACCAACAGGTGCTGCTGCCACTCTGCTCAACTTTGCTGCTGCTGTAGGTTGCCTCTGCTGAACACTGCTGGAGACCAAGTGATATAAAAAAAGGACCGCTACCAGCACTGTAAGAACTGCCGTCTGGTGTGCTGTCCTACCCGCCGTTTACCCTCAAACCGGCCTGCCGCTGCTTCCCCGCAGCGTTTCACATGCTGCCTGCTTGGTTGATGTTGGAAGGAAGAATCAATAATCATCCTTGGAAGCTGGAAGCGCGGCGCATGATCCGCACATGTATAGTGCATAATAACGTGATACCAGTGGACCACCTACATACATGGTCGCAAACAAGGGTTGAATTGGTGCAGCACGAGACAATTTGCATGTGACGGCGCGACGGCACGGTACAATCCTTGGAAGTGGGTTTGACGCGTGACCGATCGGAACGTAGACTATATACAACAGCAGGTCCCTCCACAGGACACATATCATTCATTGGCTTACGTACCCTGTGGGCCCCTATCTGTTGATTGGCCCCAAGCCGAGTGCTGCTGGATGAGCACGGCTGTCCCGTTTGACAATGTGAAGAGATGGTAAAGTCGTTTTATTGGTCGTCCTCGTAGACACAAGCAACGGAAGAGAGTGGGCACCCAGGTGCATCACAAACACCGAGGCACGCGAGCAACAGTCACAAGACGCTTTCGGAACTCGGAATACATGGCAGCAAGGAATGCGCGACAACTTGCCAAAGATCCTACTACCGGAGATACCCCGAAGATCCAAATGACCGATGGACGGTCACGCACTTGCGCACCTGCATAGCTCAAAACCACACATGAGTACTACCGCAATAGCCTTCGTAAGGATGGCATAATCCACCTCACGAACACCCTCCCTGATTCTGTACATCATAACGAATGCTCTCAAAACCAAAGCGCTCAGGGTACTCATAGAAAACTCCAAAAAGAAACAAAAATAAAACAAACGAAGGGAAACCCGGCCACCGGATCAAAACCCTCCGCCCCCACGGGTCATCCTGCTGATTGAACTGTCAACACAATCAACACAGCAGTCACAAAGTTGCAAACCTACACGTCTACAACTGTCAGGCATTTGTACTACCCCTTTTCAAGTAGTCCCCTCCCAGCCAACAGGATCCCTACTGTATCGAGTTGCTGTCAGCACCGCGGCGCGCCTAAGGCCACAAGCACCAATGCCAAATTGCAGCGGAAAAACGTAAAACCTAACGCTACATCGCTAAATGACATTTTTATAGAGGGCGATCAACCAAGAGGAAGATCAAGCAGTATCTCAACCACAACGGCCCCACGCTTCGAGAGACACTGGACCTAGACATTTTTTTTTTTGCTACTCCTTCACAAGTAACTCCCTCCCAGCAACAGGATCCCTACTGCTGTATCCAGCTGCTGTTAGCAACGGGGCGCGTCTGCAACCAACCCCGATCACCATTGTCGATCACATGACAGTGAGGGGTGCCCCCCTCGGTCTGTACATCAATGAAAGATCATATAAAAGGGCAATCAACCACATGTTAGGGGAGGGTGCCCCCTCTCAGCCTACACATCAGAGGACGATCGAAGCAGCATATCAATCACAAACAGTTCATCAACCAGCCTGCCGGTACCTGCTAATATGAGAGACGCTGGTAGCCATCTATCACGGAAAAAGGCGTCATTCATCAGCCCTCCCTGATTTCAGGCAAAATAATTCCGAACATCATCAATCAAATTGGTGTGACCGCAGTGCCCTGCGGATCACCATTCCTCAAAGTGAGACGACAACGGAATGCCACACCATCCTCAGTATTTCATCGTGCAATAAGCCTCATCATGGCTCAACCTACGCGGTTAGTTACTGAGATGCGCATGGTATACCGGACAGGCAACATCGAGTTTCGTGGACTGCGTTCGTATCCCGATCGAACATAAAAGAAAAAAAAACAACGAGCGAACGGCGGAAAAGTAACAGGCCAGAAAAAATTCCCCTTTGTACTTTCGTCAGTCGTATCATCAAAATCGGCTCTTGATGGGGAAATGCCGACGAGCCGAATTGCACGCAAGGCACGAAAGCGAACGGGCGTTGATGCACCGCTGGGAAAACAGATCTAGACAACATCAGAGTGCTTCGTATGCGACGTCCAACTCAACACCACCGACTCCAACTTCAATCGCGGCGACTGCAGTTTCAGTTCTCGATGGGCAGTTTTTCGCGTTGTGCCCCTTTTTTCCGCACCTCTGGCAAAGCTTCTCTGGGCATGCACTCGCATAGTGGTCACCATCACAGACGTAGCACTTGACTCTCTTATCGCTAGCTATATTCGCCTCTTCGTAACCTCGGTTTTGTTTCGGACGTCTCTTTCCTCCCCCCTTCCCCTCTACTGCTACGAACGCATGATGGTTCGCTCGCCGATCACTCTTCCCCTTCTTTTCCTCCGCTTTCAGTTGCCCAGCCCGTGTGCGAAGCACTCTCAAAATCTCTTCTTCATCGAGTGTTTTCTGGGCGAGCAGCTGTTGCTTTTGAATCTCGAATTCCGGGGAAAGCGCATCGAGGAACCGTGCATACACGAGCATTTTTGGGATGGGCTGGTCGAATGCCAACTCTAGGTTTAGTCACTACGGACTTGAACTCCTGGAAAAACACTCGGGGTTCCTGGTTCTTCCCTTGTTGGGCATTATAAAACTTTCCGATCAGCGAGATCTGCTCGCCGCCGGTCAAGGGGGTGAATGTTTCTTCTAACGCACGCCACGCTGCCGAGGGCCCCTTTCGATCGTACACCAGCATTTTTGTGGAGTTGTTGGATATCGCTCCGGTCAGCATCCCCCACAAATCCCGGTACATGGCTATCTCCCCTACTTCCACTCCTTGCTCTATCATGCCATCATCGTCTACGCCTAGGACCTCAATGTCTCTGCTGTCGCTCAAGGCGCGACCCATCCCACAAGTCTGAACCTGCGTAATGAAATCGTTTCGGAACATCAGCCAGTTTTTCTCGTCTCCGTTGAAGTCCAACTGTTTCAGGCGTGGGATACGGGCATGCGAGCTGAAAGCATACCGTGAAGCTTGCTCCTCTCTGCTGATTCCCTCTCGCGAGATAGCACCGTGTGGTGGTGTAGGCTCTCGTGTTTCCGGGCCTCGCAGTCCTCTCGCTCCCTCGAGCCCTCGTCCAGTATTCGGCGCTTGGTCTAGCTGACCCGCGCCAGGGAAGGCGTGCGTCCTCCCCTGTGACTCCCCCCCGCCGCCCGCTGCGGTCGCACTTCCGGCGGGCGGTGTCCCGGGCACTAACCGGGACAAGGTGTTCATGATGCCTTCCAGTTTCTCCGTCACCATCTTCTCCATTCTGGTGCTGGCGTCGCCCACGGCGTCGTCGATGGCCGTCCTAAGCTCCTCATGAGTCGGGCCAGCCTCGCCCCCGCCAGAGTTCACAGAGTCGTTCGAAGACATGTGTGTCTGCCGCACTAGACTATGACGTTAACGCCACAAGAACTCTAGAGTGTTGATTGGCCCCAAGCCGAGTGCTGCTGGATGAGCACGGCTGTCCCGTTTGACAATGTGAAGAGATGGTAAAGTCGTTTTATTGGTCGTCCTCGTAGACACAAGCAACGGAAGAGAGTGGGCACCCAGGTGCATCACAAACACCGAGGCACGCGAGCAACAGTCACAAGACGCTTTCGGAACTCGGAATACATGGCAGCAAGGAATGCGCGACAACTTGCCAAAGATCCTACTACCGGAGATACCCCGAAGATCCAAATGACCGATGGACGGTCACGCACTTGCGCACCTGCATAGCTCAAAACCACACATGAGTACTACCGCAATAGCCTTCGTAAGGATGGCATAATCCACCTCACGAACACTATCCACAAGCGTTTTGTTAGCGGAGGCAATAAATGCCTGTGTTTATTCTCCCCGAGAAACATATATACATATGACAACAACCCTTGTCTGCTTGCTGTATGTATGTGCTACTACTACTACTGTGCGGAAAGAACTCAAGACATCTTCTTTGTGGGCGTTGATGAGGGTTCGCGTTTTGGCTTGGGGGCGAACACACGTATGTTATGATGAAACATCCGCTGTGAGAGCTGTATTGAGCGTTGGGAAACGTTACAACTGGGGGCTGGCAGCTGATGGTAGCCGGGTGCGGGCTGCTGCGTGCTTGAATTGTCATCCACTCCTTGATAGCACTAATACTGATGCGTGTGTGTTCTAACGGGATCCCCCTGTATGGATGTTGGTAATGCTCCGTCGGTCATTTTATTTTCGCTTTAAGAAGTCTGCCCGTGTATTTGTGGACCTGTTTTTGGTGAGTTGTGGTGATGACCCCCCCATGATGTCTCCATGCCGGAGCAGCTCACGTTACTCCCTACAAGCGCGATCCAGTGCTCGCCGACCTGTATGCATATTTTGCGCCTTTCCACGTGTGGGTCCACGGATCACCGCATCAACCAGTGCGGCATGTTTGGTTGCGTGGTTGATGGCAAACGACGCGCCCGTGGTGGCAAAGGACGCGCGTGAAGCCCCTGCGGGAAAGATCCGAGAACGTTATACAATATATATATTGAACCACGTTCTTTTCGTTTTGTGGGCCGCCGGCCTATCATCATCATCACGGATATATTCATCACCTCGGCGTCCTCGCACCCTCCAACTTCATAACTATAATAGCACAAAGCAGCAGTACCCCGGCGGCACAGACAACAGAACAGTGTTTCCCGAAGTCGTGGGCGCGTGCTTGCGTTGCTTTTGCTGGGTGCACCAGACACTACTCACACGTACACTGCGGTAAGAGCCACCACCTGTCACGGCGATCCGCCATGTTCCAACCCTCCTCTCCATCACGTCAGTATGGCTCCGTGATGGGTGAAGAACAGAATCCGTGCACAGGGACTCGCCGTGATCGGGTGCTGGAGCAGCCGCACCCAACGCGATGGCGGAATCTAGCTGTCGTTGGAGCGCTCGTAATCGGTGCAACAGTGGTCGGCGTGGCATTCAACAGGCAACCCAGAGCAATAGCGGTAACGCCGAGCAACTCGGGCGCTAGTTTGGTGGACATCGTTACCCCTTCGGCAGGTACTTCTACGACTGCTGATGAGGCCATCCCATTCTCTCCGCGAGCATTCCCGAAGAAAATCGTCGAGACACCAAAGGTGCAGGAAGAAACAGCGGGCACGGTGGAAGAGGTGGCCCCGCTTTCCTTCCAGGCGCTCAACTTCTACCACATCCGGGACGGCAAGCCGGCGCAGGACTACCCCTGGCTCCAGGATGTGAAGCTCATCGAACCCCACCGCGAGACAACTCTGTCGGTTTCATCGCCCCGAGACGGCTACGACTACATCTGGGAGGTGCGCAGCGGCGACACGGACGACACCGAAGTGCGCGCGTCGGCGAGAGGGGCGGAGGCCCTCATAACCCTGACGATTCTCGACGACAACGTGATCACGCTGAAGGAGGTCACCTCCGACGGGGAGATCATGCGGCAGCTGGACGAGCTGGTGATGGTCAAGTATGTTCGCCGGGAGATCAGGACTCTAACGGACGATGAGCGCGAAGAGCTGTTTGATGCGGTAAGGAATGTTTTGCGGGGGGCTGGCGGGTGGGGGGTGCGAATGGCACTAGATAAGCTATTAGTGACCGCAATTGTTTGGGGACCTTCGAAGCTCAGCCTAGCTTGTCCCGGCACTGATATGCTGACGGTATCCATCGTGTGAGCCGCGACCCAGACCCGTCCAAAGGCACTGCCTCTTTTTAGGAAAATTATCCTTTTTTTGTTTCCTGAGAAAGGGAGCAAGCATTCGATGACAAAACATGCATGCTCTCGCTGACGATGCGCCTCCTTCTCTGTATGTACTGAACTGCACGGTATATTGATGGTGGCGGTGGTGTACAGCAGTTCGGCGACAGAGCATGCCTGTGCCGCTCGTTGGGTGACTCGCTCCCCGAATGCCGTATGCACAGCCATTTAGCTTGAGGCTCGGATGTTGTCAAGTGGATTGATTGCCGTGGATGCACATAGGTACAGAGTATGCCTGCAACACAAAAGTACAGAGTGTATGCCTGCAGTACAAAGAGCAGCCATATGCTACGTACGGCAATACAGCCGGTATGCACATGATCCCGCATGTATGCGTATGTGTGCAGACAGACCTGATTGCTGTATTCACTTCTGTCGAGCGTTTTTCATTCCACAATCGTCCCGCCTTTGATTTGTAAAATGTAAGTTACCTATACAGATGTTTTTGTACTTAGTACCAGCTGGCATCACTGGTATCATCTGTGTATAGACTTCGAAATAAGTCCAGTACCCAGCCGGTTTCCCTCCACTCACTGAAAAGACTCCACCACGTCCCGTTCGACTGTGGGTGTATATCTCGAATGGGTAGTCTTTCTGTGTGTGTTTTTATTATTGCTTAATTTGTTCTTGTTGCCTTCACCCCTGAGGGCTAGACTACTTGTATTGTAATAGTAACATTTTTTCTCATCCGATTCCCCATGTACATATTGGCGGTATTCTACCCATCGGCGTATTAATTTAGCCGTTCGTCACATTTTCCGTTACTTCTAATCTGTATCGGGAGGAATTTCTTCGATCGGTGGGTATGTTGTCGGCCTGTATGGCTCGGCTTAATGACCACCCACAAGTACTTAGGTGCTGTGGTAATACGTACAAAGCTTACCCCGACAGAGCGTGGATTTTGTTCTCCTGGAAAACTTGTTGTCCTTGACCCGTATTTTCAAAAAGTACTTAAGTGGGTGGTCCGATATAGTGGCATTTAGGGGCAAGAGGAGGATATGGCTCTCTTCAGGGCAGTGCCACTATTCGATATAATAAGCGGGTCATGACATGTTGAGATTGTGACAAGAGATTTTGATGCCGCTACATCGACGGTTCCACTATTCAAGCTGCCACTATATCGGACCACCTACCTACTGCTGTATTGCTGGAAGAGTTGGAAGTTTTCGTCACATACATCTTCGTCAGGATCAGAATCGCCGTCCGCAATACCTTGGTTCGTTGTTTTTCACCCGAGAATACGCAACCTAAAGTTGTTCGTCACCACACTCCCCAGCTGTGCATCGTCTGTGATAAGGTCGGGAGTATTTGTAGCTTTTCGACGTACAGGCTCTCTCCTTGACTCCCATTTTTCACTCGCAATAATTCCGATACAAGTTGGAAATACTACCTCGAGGGACCTGACCCCAAACGCCAAACGCAAACCAGTGTTTCCGTTACACGAGTATGTATTATGAACAAGTTGACCGTTTCCGTCGCCCCCCACTACTGCTGTGCGCCTGTGTGAAGGTCCCGTTCATAAAACGTGATACGCTATATTTTGTTGGCCTCTGCAGTATGTTGGTGCTGCTGTTGGCTCCTTCTCATCGTCCACTTCCGCTGACGACCTAGATATCATGTTAATATATACTCACAGGATGGTCGTCGTGACGTGATACATTTCTTGCTATTAGTATAGGAAAAAATAAAAAAAAAATGGCTCGATTTTTGTATTTCTACAGCAGTATGAGACGCCGACTGTACATGGAAGTCGTACGAGTGTCGACTTAGTTGTGCTGTCACAGCATCTTCCACGCACTTCTGCCAGTGCTGGTTTGTTGATCGGAGTCTTGTAGGTCGAGATACAGCAGTGGGATTCTCGGGTTGTGGAGGCAAAAGTGAACCAGAGCAAAAAATTTCATGCATAAATAGCTCGATTATTGCTGTGTTTTTGCAACAGCAGTATGGACTAGACGCCGAACGACGTCCGCGTACTACCGCAACGACCTGACTGGATGGGATACATCCTGCCACGGCGAACCATAGTACAGTGCGATGCAAACATCCGTTCGTGTGCCGCGCGGCTGCCACATGTGTCGACGACCGGTACACGTAGAGCTCTCGCCATGTTGTCGTTACCGCGCAGGAGGACCCCTCGCAGATCTTCCACATCGTGCTACAACGACAGCAGTACTACTGCTGTACATAGATGTCGTAGGAGAGTGGAGTTGTGCTGTCACGGCATCTTCCACGCACTCTCCTACCGGTGCTTGCGTCGATTGGAGCCTTGTAGGCCGAAATACAAGAGTCGGTTGGGTTCCCGGGTTGTGGAAGCAAACCTGCCTGCGACAACAGAGAAGGCGGTGTTCTATTTACTATAACAGAGTATCCCGCTCAACTTTTTTTTTTTTGCGACATGTGGTTGCATATTTCTTTGCCACTGCCGAAAAAGACCGCTGGATCTGCAGTCCACCTTTCGCATTTATTTATCATTTTACACCGAACGAAGCAGGACGGGTTGACCTTCATCATTGTTGTTGTTGTTGTTGTTGTTGTTGTTGTTGTTGTTGTTGTTGTCTCTACATGAAAAACCGTTCCGATCTCTCTCTACCCAGTAACTTCATAATGTCGGTACTTATGGATTATTACCTGTTGGAAATTGTGGGAATCCCTTCATCATTCCGAGAGAGCCATAGGTCGGCATCCGGCCTTTTCTTTTTTTGTATGCACTTTTCTTCCTGTCTGTGAAGTTTTGACGTTGCGCTTGCCATCGTCGCTGAGGTGTCTGTGGCTTCAAACCTTCTCAGCCGGCCTTAAAACTTCTAGTTGATAAGTCTCCGTGGTACCTTCTCCGCGCATGAGTCATATGCAGTTTTGACCTGCGCTTTGACTTCAAGAGGTATTTTACCTCCCCGTCTTGCATTGGTGAGTACCTGCGTTATACCTATTACGGAAGGATCGTTCCACGACGCAAACGTCGACGTCTCCGTTTTTTTTTGTCCCCTCCGCACTCCTTCCGTGCGGCGGTTTTCACACCGACTTCGAACGTGGGGTGCAATTTCCTCTCTTCGTACCTTCCACGTCGGCCTTCTCCATCGTTATGTACATAGAGTGTATACCTCGATTTGTCGGCTTTTCGATTCCGATAGAGACAAGACTACGGACTGACATTTCCCTTTCACCCCCGACGGGACCGCGCGCTCGTCGAGTGCCGAAATTCTTCACCACTTCCTTGCCTCTCCCAACACCGTCCCTTCTTCCCGCCCCAACAAATCTTCTCCCCTTCTTCTTCTTCTTTCCTTCCTCCCGGACAATCACCACTATCCGTCCTGGATGTTGGCCCCCAGCCCCATTGGGGGGCGGGGGGCCAATCCTTAACCCTAGTATATCTTTTTTGCGAGATGCTGACATGTAACGAACGGTTTTGCTCTGATGGCCGGCGTGACGGACCTCCAGATGTTTACGCTTTGGGACGTGCGAGTGGACACCGGAAAGGGAAAGGAACTCTACGGGGACGACTACGCCGACATCTACGCCATCAACCGCCTGCACTTTAAGGCGGCGATGAGCGAGACCTGCGACCACGTAAGTTTCATGGTCTGCTTGTTGAACATAGGTTGCTGGAAAATATTATTTGTTTGAGTCACTTACATAGGCGGACTCGCAGCCAACCACAAGCAAGATACATACGTGTCTCCCTGGGGGAGAGAACGTGATGTGTGTCGTTCTTCTTTACTTCGTATATTGACGGCAGAGGAGAGCCAAGAAAACCACGTTTTCAGGCTGATAAAAATAGGCCTCTCGCCTCCGCTTCTTCGGCAGGGATTGGGTGGGGCTCACTTGTACGTATTTTTGACGAGAGAGAGAGTAGTTGTCCACTCGTGTAGCAGACCAAGGTCGCGAGGGATGATGGGCGCACTTTATTTTACTTATCCCCGGTGTGGTGTACGAAGAGGAAAGCTATGGTCTTCATTTTCATGTGATCTGTTCATGATGTCATCTTGCTTTCAGATTTTTCAGCCGGGTTCCGGTACCTTGGCTAAAGTCATGTTACTTTCAGTATTTATCAGCGTGCTTTATAATCCTCCCGTCGGGAATCAACAACTACGCTGTTTCCTCAACTCCGTCTCACCCGCAAATCATCTCTCCTTTGCCGTGTCAACCATCGAAAGGCTCGCCTCAAGCTCTCCCATACTGATGTCATCTGCCGTTTGTTTTGTTCGCCTCCTTTGGTGCACTTGTTGGTTACCGCAGTTCCACGACGGTCTCGGCTTCTTGACCAGCCACTCCCTGATCTCCAACACGTTCGAGTACAGCCTTCAGCGAGTGAACCCCAAGCTGACCCTGCCGTATTGGGACTTCACCATCGAGGACTTCGAGGCGGAGAAGTCTTTCGACGACGACGATCTCAAGATCGTCTCGCCGATCTTCCAGGAGTCGTGGTTCGGCTCGGCCGATCCCGACGACAACATCGTGAGTTGGTTTGTTCTTGCCGTTGCTGCTCTGCTGCTTTGAAGGGAAAAACTTGAGTCGTCTGGTCTCAGCAGCATCGCAGGCCGTTGGTGCTGTGGATGGTGCAATGGTGTCGCGCACTCCGTAGAGGTGATCGAAGAGTGCACTGATGTATCTTGCCGCTTGGCGTGCTGCCGTAAACGACGACGACGATGACTGCAAAGGCCCTTCTCCCATCTCGTTCTGAATAGCAACCAGACGACGGCATATTTTCGCCGGTTATCGGCGTGGCGTATGAATGCATGCATCATCACGAACACGGCCCGATCCGCCGATGTCGACTGCCGTTGATTGTTGTCTCGAAAAAGTTGTTGGTAGAAAAGTACTACTCGAAAGGAAGCGAGCACTGAAACGACAACTTTGTCTCCGCTCCCGATCGTTCCGCGGTGGTGCCACTTATGCAGGTGAAAGATGGGAGGTGGGCAAACACGGAGATCCCCGCGATGTACCCAGGCGACCCGGGAGACTTGAACCCGGACGTGTATGGCCTCCTGCGGTCCCGCTGGAACGTCAACTCGTCGCCGTGAGTCGTGAAACGCTCAAGGAGATGGTTGCGGTAGCAGTAGATTATCAGCGTCCGATCGGCGCAAGGGTCTGGTATATATATGCCGACCGAAGTCACTCTTATGGTGCTGTTTTCATAGCAGCAGCACAAACCACCGCACGGGCTACAGCTGGCTGCTGGCGGTAGCTCAAAGCAGTAAGTGATGCATCATGGTAGTGTTGTGCTTTATTATTAGTTATATTTTAGGAGGCGCTCGGTTCTCGGCACTGCTGCCTCGTGCCTGGCCACGGCGGCGGGCCGTTTGTTGCTGCTCGATTATATGCCGTTGAGTGTATTGATTTTCCGTGGTACGTTGCGTTGACGAACGGCTCGATCAACTCACTCAACGCATTCCCTCTCTCCCTCTCGATGTGCCAAAAAAACACCCACAGGTACCTGACTCGCGGGATGGGCACGCTGTGCAACACGTACGACGTGACGCAGATCTACCCCTGGCCTACCTGCGAGCTCCACTACTGGATGGCCACCGAGTACTCGGACTTCTACTCGTGGGTGTGGACGAGCATGTACGCGCCCCACGGGCCCGTGCACACCTGGATCGGGGGCGTGCTGAACTGCGAGGAGACCATGGCCTCCGTGAGCAGCCTCGTCGGGGAGGACAATGCCAACTCCCTTGCGCTGTACGCGTTCGACCAGCGCAAGAACTTCTGGCGGGACGGCTTCTTCGACTGCGAGGGCACGGCCGAGGCGGGCGCGACGGAGGACGTGGTCTTCTCCGAGGGGATGTGCGGCTGCCTGGGCTTCGACCTCAGCAGCAACTCGGATGACTGGCAGACCATCTACTACAACTCCACCATCGACTTCGACAACGTCATCAGCGAGTACGACGACGAGACCAAGCGCATGGTCGTCGCGGAGGTGTGCGCCTCGACCATCCACGACGGCGACCACCTGCAGGTGTGTGTGTGTGTGTGTGTGTGTGGTGTTTTGAGGAAGATGTCTCGTATCGTTGCCCGGTATGTTGCTACTGCCTGTAGCGTCGACGGTGCGTAGCAGGCGTACCAATGGAGAGACGTGGGGCTTTGAGCGGCAACAACCGGGAAGTGCTGCCATTCTGCTGTTGTTGCTGCTGCTGTGTGGACATTTCCCGGTGTCTTGTTGCCGAACTCTGCTGTTGCTGTCTTGTGTTTGTCGTTTACGAGGCGGTCCACATTTGTCGATGTCGTTTGTGCCGGTCCTCTGTTCAGTTGTGCGCAAGTACGGCGAAAGCCTCTACGTGCATGTTCAGCAATTCTTCCTCCGAAATGGTTTCGGCAGCGGTTGTAGTGATGCGTTCTAGCATGTTCCACAATACGGGGACAAGTTCAACGGCAGCCGACGTTGTCTTTTCTGTTTCCATCATGATTTTTGAAGCCAACCTACTCCCTTGTGTGGCCCGTCTCTGTTCCGTTCGATCGATCTACTACCACCACCACCACCATCAGGCGGGCTCCTCGCTTGACCCAACCTTCTGGCCAATGCACCCGACGATGGAGCGCCTGTTCATGTTCGCCCGGCTGACGGGGAACACCAACGACCTGGACTGGCCGGACGCCGATTCCTCCTCCTCCAACGAGATGATAAGCCGTTACGGCGACGATTGCGTCGGCCACGGCGGCAGCGACGTGTTCCCCTTCGACCTTCTCGACTCAGACCATGACGGATTCGAGGTGTGTACTGTAGAACCAACTCCCTGGAACGGAACGCCTTCAGTTCTCTAGCCCACCCCGATGCAGCCCTCTCGGAAATAGACTGAACGCTTTGCGTCGTGCTTGAGGCCTCCTCGACACCATCGCCAGTACAGGCTACGGTCGACCTACAGCAAGCTTGCGTGTAGACCCCCACGCACTAGCCCTACCCACTGTGATGGCTCTGACTCGACTGATTGCACGTGCTCCCCACCCCCCGTGGTTCGACCTCTGGTGGATCCCGATTGCTTCGGCCAAACAACATCTGGCATCGACGTACGTAGGGTCTGTCTGTAGCGTACCAACAATACAGCCGTTTACCCCAGTCAAGTCATTGTTCATGGCTGCTTGCTTACTCCCATCGCAACCGAAGCAGCACCCACGCTCAACACGTACCCTTGTGGCTCCCTCCCCCCCCCCCCCCCCCGGCCTGCCCGACACATCTCATCTGTTTCAGATCAAGACCGGCATGAAGGGCAACCCCGAGACCGGGAACAGCTTCACCAACCGAGAGGTCCTCGCAGCGATGGACCCTAGGGTGAACCAGCTGTCCTACGTGTACGACACCTTCAAGTGGGACCACTGCTTGGGTAGCGGCTACGACTTCGACACCGCGTTTGACTTTTCTTCGACGGCTAGCGCCGAGGACAAGGCCAAGTCGACCATGAAGAACGAGCCGACCATGAGAAACCCCTGGGCTAATCTGAAGAAGAGTGGTGTCGGGGCAAGCCAGGGTAGCACCAAGAAGGCTAGCAAGGGCAAGAACTGACTTTAGATTGCTGGGTTTGCGTGAAGTGGTGGGGATAGCGAATGGGAGAGGGAAGAGTACCGAACGTTGACGTTGGTACGTAAGGGGTATTTTACGTTCATGATGTTGTATTTAGTTATTTCTTTTCTCTGCAGAGTGCGGAGGGGAGAGAGGTGGGGGTTAGCACAACACCAGCGCCAGATTGCTGGACTGGCCGATGATACGTCGGCCGGCAGGATGGGGGGATAGGCTAGCTTATTCCCGGTGTGCTCGAGCGTTGCGCATGTGCCGACCCGCTCTTTCGTGCGACTTTGGCAGGCAGGCGCTGGAGTCTTGGGTGGGGGGGGGGTGCGATGTCTGGCGGAATTGTGGTGTTTGTGGTGATACGTTGGCCCCCCCTACACCCGTCGCACTTTCTGGCACTTTCGTGGTTTTCTAGCTTTCGGCTTCGGCCTTCTGTGGGAGGGTGTTGTCATACAGTTGAATCCAACCTCGTGTATACGCTTGTGCCCAGAACGATTTCAGCTCTGCTCTGTTTCTCGGACGAACGGGGTGTCCGTTTGTTGTCCCTGTCAATTTTGTCCGGTGTCCACAAAGATTCCATTTTTTGTTGTGTTGTCCCGGACGTCCGTCCGTCCGTTTGTTGTCTCTGTTATTTTTGTCCTGTGTCGCGGGGCTGCATACGTCGGCTTCCCGAAGTACGCTGTCGCGGTGGTTGGGTTGTGACCAATTCGTTTCTGTCCTTTTGGGCTTCAGGAGCATAGAAAGACAAGGCGATTTTGACGCTATTGTTGTCGAACTGGGCTTATCGTGTGCTTCCACTGCTGTACCACCTCGCCGTGTATGCGTACGGGCTGATGTTCATGTCGGACACATAAGCACAAACTCCGATCTGCACCTGCGGCCTTGTAGTTACCCCCCATGATGGCGTCGACCTTGTCGTTATTTGTCGGTATCACGTGCTAGTGCTGTGTGGTAGCTGCCTCTGCTGACTGCTGTGTATGAAATCCTGCTCGTTGCGTAAGATGATGTGTTGCTCGAGACGATGTGTGACTCCTTTGCGAAGACGATGTGTAGCTTGTGATCCTACTTTGATACCCCCTTGCATCTCGCCCGTGTCTTTTCTACCCCTTTGATGCCCTCACGAGAAGTTTTGCTTGAGATGTACGTCCGTAGTAGGACTGACAAGAGATTCTTGTACGTACCCACCCCGTGCTGCGCTGCGGTTGATTGGTGTTTGGTTCGTATGGATGCAGTCAATACTGATGACACATCTTCGTCGAAGAATGATGAACGTTGTAGGTGCTGTCGTTGTTTCATTAAAAAACTGCGTGCAGCAGAGGAAGTCGGGGCGTGTTGTCCTTGTCTGGCGATGAATTAGTGGTGCGACCTTGCATGTGTATATGGCGGAAATACATTGCAAAGGACGCGCCCGTAAATGCAGATGCGTGATTGCCAATGTCGCGCCCGTGACAGGCGCTGCGTGGAAAGATCCGCATTCATTCTTCAGGGAAGCTTATTCGTCGAACAGAGAACAGACAGAATTAAAAGGCGTTTATTGGTAGAACAGTTTCGGATTGTTGAATCCAACCTCGTCTATACGCTTGTGCCCAGTCGGATTGTAGGTTCATTAATTATAGGCAAAGCACGTAGCACGCATCATGCGAAGCGCCATAGTGTGGCGGCATCCGTGCTGCAGGCGACCGGCATTCACTGGATCACATCGTACGTAGGCCGGTAGAACAATTAATTCGACATGCTATTGTTTTGCTGCAATGCCGCGTCCCAACACACAAAGCGCCAAAGTGTGGCTTCATCCGCGTTGGGGACAAAGCGTCCAGTACGCAACAAGAGAAGCGCCATAGTGTGGCTGCATCCATGCTGTAGGCAGAGCGCGTAGCACGCAACGCGCGAAGCGCCATAGTGTGGCTGCATCCGTGTCGTGAGCGAAGCGCACAGCACGCGAAAGCACTATAATGTGGCCGCGTCCGAGCCGTAGGTGAACGGCATTCATTCATCGAAATAACAACAAATCAACGTAGGCTGAAAGAAAAACAACAAAAAAACTCACATGCCTTTGGTGCACATGCCTTTGGTTATGGTGACGATCCACAACGTGGCTAATGCAGAACAGTTATCGCATATAATCACGGAACCATGAAGCCCATCGAGTCAAATTCAAAGTAGGCCGATTAAAAATCTCACAGGTATTTGTGTATCGTGACGCGCCACAGCGTGGCTGCCTCCGTGCCAAAGCAACACGGCTATCGCCTCTAATCACGCAACAATGAGGTCATCTTAGGCCAGAAAAAGAAAGGGAACATTCTTTCCCGCGTTGATCAGACGGGGCGCACTGGTAACGAAGCGCTATGAAAAGAGTCGTCCACCGCTTTCTGCGGTAGAGGCAGACATACATGCGCTTTGGACTACACCTTTGCAAGTTAACAAAACATAGTTCTTGTGACACTCTACCTTCCGAAGAGGCCCATGTATGTCGGCAGCCATGCGTACACGTACAGTGGGGGTCCCTGTATAGTGCGGGCATGGGCCAAGCGATTTCACCCGCACTATAGTGGGCGCCCGCACTATTTGATTTCGGGCCTGACTAGTGCAGCAAGACGCACTATTCAGGGTCCTCAGTACCATCAATAGTGCAGGCAGGCGTACTATTCGCGATATCACCGGTTGCATTGTCTTGAACGAAAAATGTTATGGAAATGTTAGCACATAGCCAGTATTAGTCAAGTTCAGTAGCACTGCTCTTGTATGTCGTAGATCTCATATGTGTCGGTTCGAATGTCGGTTCGAATGTAACTTACGTATGTGTATGCGGAGGAATTACTCTTGCTGAAAAGACTCCACCACATCCCGTTCGACTGTGGGTATATCTCGAATGGGTAGTCTTTCTGTGTGTGTTTTTATTATAAGATTACTCTTGCGAGAGTAATTCCTCCGCATACACATACGTAAGTTACATTCGAACCGACATTCGAACCGACACATATGAGATCTACGACATACAAGAGCAGTGCTACTGAACTTGACTAATACTGGCTATGTGCTAACATTTCCATAACACTCCCCCTCAATGAAAGTTGCTCTGAATTGTACCAAACTACAGTGATGAATATTAAAGCAAGTACACTCGTTTCCTGCGTAACGTAACTCATTCATTCGTTTCATGCGTTTCAACCACTAATGTACCAAGTGATAATTCATGTTTTACACGTGCTACAATACCTTCATGCGCTTGCAAAGAGTACCTGCTATTATTTCTTGCATAAACCAAAGCATCATAACTTTCAATCCTACATGGCTCGTTCAACCAGTGATGGTGCGAGGCCGAATGTTGACTACCGAAAGAACACGCTGATTCACACAAACAGAACAGATGCAAAAATACTTCGTAACAAACACACAAACATATAACACGATTACTTGAACTTGTTGCTGATGAAGTCGTTGACGTTGAAGCTCCTGATGATGTCCAGCAGGTGTTTGAGCCGATGCTTGTTAAGATGCTTTGTCCCGATGTCAGCAGGGTTGCTTTCCGTCGGGATGTGTAATGGATCGATATCCGTCCTTCCGATACTAGCTCTCGGATGTAAAAGAAACGAAGGGCGATATGTTTTGTCCTCGAGCTGAAGGAGCGGTTTCCAAGCGCGTGCAGCGTCGCCGTGTTGTCGCAGTACAGCGGCACTTGCGCAAACTCCTTACCGAACCCTAGCTCAGTTAGCACGTTAGAACAGAACACTGCTTCCTTCATGGCTAGTGCCGATGCAATCAGCTCTGCCTCCATGGTAGACATGGCAGTTGGACCTTGTATCCCCGACTTAAAACTCACCGGTGCATTGCCTAGCATCGTCAAGTAGCAAGAGGTGGACTTTCCGTTGTCAGGGTTGTTCGCCCAGTTGGAGTCCGAAAACGTCGCACTGAACATTGACTAATACTGGCTATGTGCTAACATTTCCATAACATTTTTCGTTCACGACAATGCAACCGGTGATATCGCGAATAGTACGCCTGCCTGCACTATTGATGGTACTACTGAGGACCCTGAATAGTGCTTCACTCACTGAAAAGACTCCACCACATCCCGTTCGACTGTAGGTATATCTCGAATGGGTAGTCTTTCTGTGTGTGTTTTTATTATTCCTTAACTTTATTCTCTGCGTTTATTCTCTGCGTGATGCTTGGTAGCCGAGTAGCTCACTCTCTCGTGTGATCCTTCCGGATTGTGTTGGCCATCTAAGCGCCAGTGTTCCAATATCTCTACATCTTCTTCACTCCGTGGAAGGACTCTCGTCTTCCAGACTACCCTCTAGCACGTGTCATCACCTCGACTAACGTCGAAGATACAGCCTCTACACCACGGTGCCAGGGTATTACACAATATCCATAATAGGTTATGAGCCTCGACTGTGTGTGTCAGGAGGCCTGCGGCGACTGCGTCTTCTGCTGGTGTCGAGCACTGTGGAGAACACACACATCTTCCAGCTTGGGTATTCTCCGCGGGGAGCTACCGTCGGAGTCTACTTTCTGCTGGAGGTCACACTGAGTCAACCCGCTTGCTTATTGGGCCCGGACTGATCACCTGGGTTCTTGGCTGCACATTTCGGTACGATACTGTGTAAAGCATTCGGGGGCATAATTTCTAGGCGTTGACTTCGGTCGGCGAATAGAGTTGTGCAGGTAGTTGGTTCTGCGTGCGGAGTGCCGTCCTCGGTGTTCTGTGTGTTCCTAACTGACTGCCACTTTCGCCTGCGCGTGGTCCTTCGCGAGGCGTATAGTCTGTCTAAGATATCTCCCACGTGCTGAGTTGCCAAGCTTGGTAGCGTGTGCAGGCTGAGGATACGACTGCTAGCTGGTAGCCGACTGCTGCTACAGCTACACCCACGTGATCCGCTCACGTAAATTTACCTGCGCGTTGTGCTATACGCGAGGTACGCCTGTCCAAGATATCTTACGCGTACTGTGTGTATACCGGTGCGAGTGTAGGTTGAGGATCTGACCAGGCCTGTTTGCATCCGTGCAGCAGCCACAAGTCTGCGCCGAAAGACGCGTAGCAAGTCTAAGCAGTACATCTGACCCGTGTGCCTGCAGGACGAGGCCGGAGTTGGCAACTTCGTCGCCGCAACACCGCAGCCTAGCCACCTGCGGTAGGTCATAGCTGTGCTCGTAGTAGCGCAGTAGTCCGAGCGGACGCTACACCGCTTCCGCTGGAAGTGGGTTGTACGCTACGAAGCTGCGACCTGCACCAAGCCTACCTCTGTGTAGCATAGCATCACCGTTTTGTTCTGGCGCGTCGAACCTTCGGAGGTAATCGAGGCGTCTTACGTGTGCTGAAAACCGTATAGCGCTCGGCGTGTGACCCTGGTTTCAGTGATGGCGGAATCCTCGAGCTCCAGGCTCCACCGCATGCTGGACTCCATCGGGAAATGCGCGGGACATTCGGGTTTTCGCGAATGGAAGATCAAGCTTCGACAAGCAGTCATCCTCCACGCGCCGGAGCTTCTCCCCGTCCTCAACGGAAACGCACGTCCTTCCGCAACCGCGGCGAACGCGCAGGATGTGGCCGCGTGGGACAAGGCCAACGGTCGCCTGTTCTCCCTCCTCTTCTTCGTGACCTCCGGGTCTGCGCAGCTCACCGTCCACACTCACGAAGGGGCGGCGGATAGTGACATGGGGGATGGGACAGCGGCCTGGAGAGCCCTCAACGAGCGTTTCGATGCTCAAACCCAGGAAGCTCGGCGTGCGTGTCACAACGAGCTGTTCAACCTGCGACACCTTGCGGGCGGTGACCCCATTGACTTCTTCACAAAGGGGTGGGATCTCAAGCTTCGCCTTAAGGTGCTGGGGGAGGAAGTTTCGGACCCAGTCTACCTGGACATCATGCTCTCAGGCCTGACCAAGGCCCCGGAGTTCAAGTTCATCAGAGAGATGCACTACCGTGACAATTTTACTTCAGTAGACAGTCTCCAGGCGACGGCTAACCGTTTTTTTGTGGATCAGCAGTCGTGCAACGCGTCGGGCCCCGTGGTCTCGGGCCGGGGGGCTTTGATGGCGGTCGCGTCCGACACCGACCAGTGCCGCCGGTGCAAGGCGTACGGACACTTCCAGCGCGATTGTCCCCAACAGGTCCAAAAGAGCCGTCCTAAGCAGGGCAAGAAGAAGGGAGCCAACAAGCGAGGAAGTGGTGGGAGTGCACAGCCCAAGTGGTGCTCCTACCACAACACCAAGACACACAGCGATGCTGAGTGCCAAAAGCAAAAGGAGATCCGGGAAAACAAGAAAAAGGAGCTTGAAGGGTTGGCGGCGAACTTGGTGCTCCTGCAGTGAGCTGGCCATGCCAACTTTCTGCAACTCCCAAATATCGGGCCTACCACAACACCAAGACACACAGCGATGCTGAGTGCCAAAAGCAAAAGGAGATCCGGGAAAACAAGAAAAAGGAGCTTGAAG